TGTTGATACTTTGTTGTTGTTTGTCTTTGTGTGCTGACACTATGTTGTAGTTTGTCTTTGTGTGTTGACACTATGTTGTTGTTTGTCTGTGTGTGTTGACACTATGTTGTTGTTTGTCTTTGTGTGCTGACACTATGTTGTAGTTTGTCTTTGTGTGTTGACACTATGTTGTTGTTTGTCTGTGTGTGTTGACACTATGTTGTTGTTTGTCTTTGTGTGCTGACACTATGTTGTAGTTTGTCTTTGTGTGTTGACACTATGTTGTAGTTTGTCTTTGTGTGTTAACACTATGTGTAGTTTGTCTTTGTGTGCTGACACTATGTTGTAGTTTGTCTTTGTGTGTTGACACTATGTTGTAGTTTGTCTTTGTGTGTTGACACTATGTTGTAGTTTGTCTTTGTGTGTTGACACTATGTTGTAGTTTGTCTTTGTGTGTTGACACTATTGTGTAGTTTGTCTTTGTGTGTTGATACTTTGTTGTAGTTTGTCTTGTTGTGTTGACACTATTGTGTAGTTTGTCTTTGTGTGTTGACACTATGTTGTAGTTTGTCTGTGTGTGATCATATGTATTGTAGTTTGTCTTTGTGTGTTGACACTATGTTGTAGTTTGTCTGTGTGTGATCAGATGTATTGTGGTTTGTCTTTGTGTGTTGACACTATGTTGTAGTTTGTCTTGTTGTGTTGACACTATTGTGTAGTTTGTCTTTGTGTGTTGACACTATGTTGTAGTTTGTCTGTGTGTGATCAGATGTATTGTGGTTTGTCTTTGTGTGTTGACACTATGTTGTAGTTTGTCTGTGTGTGATCAGATGTATTGTGGTTTGTCTTTGTGTGTTGACACTATGTTGTAGTTTGTCTTGTTGTGTTGACACTATTGTGTAGTTTGTCTTTGTGTGTTGACACTATGTTGTAGTTTGTCTGTGTGTGATCAGATGTATTGTGGTTTGTCTTTGTGTGTTGACACTATGTTGTAGTTTGTCTGTGTGTGATCAGATGTATTGTGGTTTGTCTTTGTGTGTTGACACTATGTTGTAGTTTGTCTGTGTGTGATCAGATGTATTGTGGTTTGTCTTTGTGTGTTGACACTATGTTGTAGTTTGTCTTGTTGTGTTGACACTATTGTGTAGTTTGTCTTTGTGTGTTGACACTATGTTGTAGTTTGTCTGTGTGTGATCATATGTATTGTGGTTTGTCTTTGTGTGTTGACACTATGTTGTAGTTTGTCTGTGTGTGATCAGATGTATTGTGGTTTGTCTTTGTGTGTTGACACTATGTTGTAGTTTGTCTTGTTGTGTTGACACTATTGTGTGGTTTGTCTTTGTGTGTTGACACTATTTCGTTGTTTGTCTTTGTGTGTTGACACCATGTTGTTGTTTGTCTTTGTGTGCTGACACTATGTTGTATTTAAGCTATTCGGAAAGTATTTGAAACAATTTTTATGCTTATTTTTTTGTAATTATTTATATTTAAATAAGTATTATATATATTATATCCTATAAAACATAGTTCTCTTCTTTGCTGATGGTTGTCTTTTTGATTCACAGATTGTTGTTGAGATGTTACGACGAGGTACGCCCTTTTTGTCTGATACAGTTCCAATACAAGCAAGCGCGAAAGGCAAACAACGCCGTTTCTCGGCGGGGCCTATACTCCGTAGAGCCTTGACAACGAACAGCCCAGACCTGTCAGAAGGTTTCCTGCTCAGAGAAAACAAGAGACGACCAACGGCCTATCATTCATCCGACAAGCCTCCTGTGGACGTTAGCCTTCCACCTGTAATACTGCTGTTGTCCTTATCGTTAACAATAGATAAGCATGTCGCTGAGCTAGTCATTGACATAAAAATGTTATGTAGCGATGAAAGTAACAGGAGTGCAACGTGTCACTAGTGTGGAATGGTTGTCTGTCTCTTTCATCCGACCCCAAGTCCCCCCCCCCCCCCCCAAAAAAAAAAAAAACAATCGGTTAAATGATACCGTTTTTATTTCATAGCAACAATCTAAGAATATGTAAACGTAAGTGTTGTTTTCATTCAAAACATTTGATGGTTCGGTTGATGAAATATTATCTTAACTGATCATAATCAGCTCGCCGAACCCGAAGAGCCAAGTGAGCTAATAACATACCGCGGCATCCGTCGTTCGTCCTTCCGTAAACTTTTTCTACCAGTTGCTTGTAGTGATGAACGATAGCGCAGATTTTGACCAAATTCGGTCAGAAGAATACTTTAAGTAAGATGACAATTCGTGGGTATTGTCCACCCGGGGCAGGATGTGTTGGCAATCCCTTTCAGATCCCACTTCACCTTTAGAAATGAATAGAGTTTGCCAAATTTGGTCTGAGGCATCAATGGGTTAAGAAGAATCCTTTGGCATGGGGGGAGACGAGCAAATTCCTTTAAATCCTACTCCTACCGTAGGAATGATGGGATTTTGCTAAATTTGTTCTGAAGTATAGAGAACACATTTTTTCATAAGCAGTGGATCAGGGCCCCATTGGAGAGGTAGGGCGGGGCAAAATTATTGGACCTTACCAAACTTTTTTGTGAAGTATGGATTTTTAGGAATGATGGAATTTGTCCCAATTTTTGTCTGAAGTATTCACGGGTGCAGGAAATATTTGCATAAATGATGCATCTGGTTCCCATAGGGCAGAGGGCAGATTTAATAGAATAAATAGATAGAAATATTTCAAATGATTTTTAGCTTAGTTTAGATGAATCAATTTCAGCGAATTAGATAACGTTAGGGATACATGCCCTATGGGCCTCTTGTTTGTAGATTTTATATACACATTTATAATTTGAATTTTATGAAGAGTATTTTACAAAAATATCAAAGATAACTATAACGCTTTTGTAATTTTAATTTGTACAAAACGGTGAAAACCCTCTGCCTATATACACGTGTGTTGTTATTATTAGCAATGTTCGACTTTTTTATCTGTCCAACTAACGATAATCGAGCAACATTTTCCCGTCTGCTTTGTTAAGGTGGCTATCGCCCTGCCTTCTTATCTGAGACAACTTGTAATTATCTCAGTATAACCCTAAGAATCATTTATCTCTAATTATATATCAATAGTAAAACTACAAAGCATCTAGTGGTCTGATTGACGTCCATTGATTGGAGTGGGTCGATTTGAATTCTGTAACGCCTGCACTTGGTTCATCAGCAGTTCGTTACTTCCTAATTGCATTCCGTTGCTGACATATCATAAACACGATCATACACTAAGGCTTTGTTGTCTGTTTTATTATATCTTTAAACACAGAACAGCTCATCGGATTTGATGAACACTGAAGGATCAATCTGTACCTACATGTATTTCACAAGGGTCAACCAGACTATACATCAACCGTGCATACATGTGTGTTCATTAAGTGATGGGTAGAACTTTGATATAATCATTACCTATGATAGTGCTTTAAACAACTTATTCCAATAACGATTTATATCGCATGCGCCACTCACCTGCACGACAAAATATCAGACTTGCCTCGATCGGAGGAGATCTGTGTACCAAGAACAGTAATACGCTCACAGTGAAATAAGACTTTGAATTCTGATTAATAGTGACTATATTCTTAAACCATAACGGCAATAAAGCCCTCTCGAGAACTTTATACTACCTTACTACGGTCGTCATGTATCAACTGTTTTCAGATTTCCTCGTGTAAATATCGAGGCTCAGGTATTACTACAACCTTACGGCACACGAGAAATGGCTCCTTTGATGTCCTTACATCAAAGTCATATAATAATAAATCTTTAGTTATGGAGCAGTACATTTTATTTGATCAGAAATGTTTGATGATACTGATGTTTATTTCGCTACAATATATAGACCACTGTTTGTAAACCGTTCATTTACAATGTGTGCAATACTGTTTCTGTAATCTTGCCACAACTTGTTATTGTTCATATAAAAGCAAACTTGTACAGTAAAGTTTAGAACAGCCATTGTTCTTATAATTGAGGCAGTGAGTAATTTCTCCTAAAAATCCTCCTACGTCTCTCTGTTACAATGAGGTACTGTGTGATGGCACCAAGTGGATGCCTTGTTCTGGAGCGTGTTACTACAGACACTGCCCTGGCTTCAGGAGAACTGGTATAATTGGCAATGTTGTAATGATCAGGGGTTGCTTGTTACCATTAAACACTGTAATCAAAGGATAAAGCAATTCTATCAATCTTACAGTATGTCTATTCGGATTTATAGTACACTAAACTTCCAAATCCGAACTGCCGTCCGGCGAATTTAGTGCTTTACCACCATTCAAAGTGGATATTTATGTGTTGATTAAACGAGAAAGAGAATGAATTACCGGCTCCAAAACAAGTACTTTCATGTAGACGCACTCATGGAACGGCGTATATAATAGGAGTTTCAGACAGGACTCCAACTCGGTCCATTTGTTTCCGGGGATGAATTTCGGCATCAAATCTTAATATATCGGCATTTAAAAGCTACATTGTAATGCTGATGGTTGAGCCCCGTCCGGAGGCAGAACGGGGGTGGGAGAAGTAGTAATAAATGACTCGGTCTCACATGCAAACGTAGCCGTCCATTATCCAGTTGAATTAGTACGGCGGGCATAACTTATTGATTTTACCGGAAGTCTATGCATATATGTTGATACCTGTAACCCTCTGTGTCGTTGGCGCGAGACAAACACGAGCGAGTTACATCCCTCCGCTGTCACTGCTGCTGTGCCTCTACACGTTTTACAACAATGGTCAATTAGAAAGTGTAACCTAAGATAGAGCATGATAACTTAGATACAAAAATCAAATGTTAGGCGCCGTGGGGCGACCCTTCCTTCTAACCCGTAGCAATATTGCTCTGCAGTTGTCGGGGATGGTAAACCTGTTGTCACTCTAACTTAGTGCTGTGTCCGCTTCATGGCCATGAGCGGCGACATCATTAACAGGATTCCTCTCAAGGTAATTCACAGAAAACTATATCCTAGTGGTGATGAGAGTGTTACTCTTCTTCAGGCTTGCTATGACAACCCGTTGTTCCACGAGGAGGACTCTCGATACCCACAGGACGACCTGGTACGTCATGGTATGGGCTCCACGGGAGGCAACGGCACCCCAGGGGAGAAGGGGTCGCGTGCAAAGGACTACCACGTGACCACTGAACTACCTCCATCTGACGTCCATTTTAAAAAGTCGTACCCCTTCCGGCAGCGGTCAGTGGTAAAAGTTGTGACTATCGTTGTCATAGTGATATTGGTGGCACTCCTGATTGGACTACTTGTACACTTTCTAGGTGAGCTTTTTTATTGTATATTTTTGCGTCATGAATATATTTGGTATATCGCACGTATTTTTCTTTATATGATATACTGATACTCAATACTGTACTTTTGATTGTCTCTATATTTCCGACTATGAACATTCTTCCCAATACTACCTCCATACTTTCGACTACTACCTATATTTCCCACCGTTTCTTTACTTACTACTATTCCTGTACTTCTCACCGTTTATGTACTCATCTTTAGCCGTATACTTTTCACTGCACCTATACCACCACTATTATTATTCTTTCCACTGTTACTGTACTCGCTACTATTACTCTGCTTCCCACTATTTCTGAACTAAACACTATATTTTTTAACTTCCTACGGTTTCTGTATCAAAACTATTCGTCTTATTCCCGTCTTCGGTATTCAACATGTTTCCTGTACTTCCCACTGTTGCTATACTAACCGCTATTCTTGTACTTTCGACTGCTGCTATACTAACCGCTATTCTTGTACTTCCCACTGTTTCTATACTAACCGCTATTCTTGTACTTTCGACTGTTGCTATACTAACCGCTATTCTTGTACTTTCGACTGTTGCTATACTAACCGCTATTCTTGTACTTTCGACTGTTGCTATACTAACCGCTATTCTTGTACTTTCGACTGTTGTTATACTAACCGCAATTCTTGTACTTCCCACTGTTGCTATACTAACCGCTATTCTTGTACTTTCGACTGTTGCTATACTAACCGCCATTCTTGTACTTCCCACTGTTGCTATACTAACCGCAATTCTTGTACTTCCCACTGTTGCTATACTAACCGCTATTCTTGTACTTTCGATTGTTGTTATACTAACCCCTCTTCACGTACTTCCCACTGTTTCTGAACTCACCACTTTTCTCGTACTTAGCACTGTTTCTATACTAACCACTATTCCTGTACTTCAACTGTTTCTGTACTAAACACTAATCCCGTACTTCCCACTGTGTCTGTACTAACAACTATTTCTGTATTTCCCACTGTTTCTATACTAACCACTATTCCCGTACTTCCCACTGTTTCTATACTTACCACTATTCCTGTACTTTCACTGTTTCTATACTAACCACTATTTGTCTACTTCCCACTGTTTCCATACTAACCTCTAATTTCGTACTTTTCACTGTTTCTGTACTTACCACTAATCCCGTACTTTCCACTCTTTATTTACTAACCACAATTCCTGTACTTCCCACTGTTTCTATACTAACCACTAATCTCGTACTTTTCACTGTTTCTGTACTTACCACTAATCTCGTACTTTTCACTGTTTCTGTACTAACCACTAATCCCGTACTTTCCACTGTTTATATACTTACCACTAATCCCGTACTTCTCACTGTTTCTGTACTAACCACTAATCCCGTACTTTCCACTGTTTATATACTAACCACTATTCCTGTACTTCCACTGTTTCTGTACTAACCACTATTTGTCTACTTCCCACTGTTTCCATACTAACCACTAATCCCGTACTTCCCACTGTTTCTGTACTAACCACTATTTGTCTACTTCCCACTGTTTCCATACTAACCACTAATCCCGTACTTGCCACTGTTTCTGTACTAACCACTATTTGTCTACTTCCCACTGTTTCCATACTAACCACTAATCCCGTACTTCCCACTGTTTCCATACTAACCACTAATCCCGTACTTCCCACTGTTTCTGTACTAACCACTATTTGTCTACTTCCCACTGTTTCCATACTAACCACTAATCCCATACTTCCCACTGTTTCTGTACTAACCACTAATCTCGTACTTCCCACTGTTTCTGTACTAACCACTATTTGTCTACTTCCCACTGTTTCTATACTAACCACTAATCTCGTACTTTTCACTGTTTCTGTACTTACCACTAATCTCGTACTTTTCACTGTTTCTGTACTTACCACTAATCCCGTACTTCTCACTGTTTCTGTACTAACCACTAATCCCGTACTTTCCACTGTTTATATACTAACCACTATTCCTGTACTTCCACTGTTTCTGTACTAACAACTATTTGTCTACTTCCCACTGTTTCCATACTAACCACTAATCCCGTACTTCCCACTGTTTCTGTACTAACAACTATTTGTCTACTTCCCACTGTTTCCATACTTACCACTAATCTCGTACTTCCCACTGTTTCTGTACTAACCACTAATCCCGTACTTTCCACTGTTTCCATACTAACCATTAATCCCGTACTTCCCACTGTTTCCATACTTACCACTAATCCCGTACTTCCCACTGTTTCCATACTTACCACTAATCCCATACTTCCCACTGTTTCTATACTAACCACTAATCCCGTACTTCCCACTGTTTCTATACTAACCACTATTCCTGTACTACTGGTTGTTATTACTTAAACAGAGAAGATCTTTTATGAGTTCTCATTCATATATTTATAAAACGAACCATAAAATTTCTCATCTTACCGAACCTCTTGTTTTTATTTTAACGTGGTTTCTGTGTAACATTTCACAACGTAGACTCTTGTTTTGTACAAATCTTTTGTTCGATCATCGCATTGTTAACGTTCAATTAACTTGATAAAACTTCTGGCATATATTTGAAAGCGAAGTATGTTAATTGCCATTGAGAATAGATAGTTTTTGAAAGAGTTCCAGCATAGCAGCTTCATACGAGCCAATCTTGTTCCTAAAGCATCGAGACGGCAAATGTGTCATACCTATAAAAATATAACAAACTGTGGTGGAAAGATAGCTCCAGTAGGCGGAGATCCGACAGTGCTGGTTATATGTGATTATATGTTTTGATGGTTTAGGAGGAAGCTGGATGGACGAATATGTTTGATTTATAAACCTGACATATTTTGCTGGCAATTATGATACAAAGTTTGCAAGGTCATATAAACTATTTCTGTTCTCACAGCTATTGTAGTTATAAAAACTGTTGATTCCTTTCTGCAGGTGCGCCGGGGGTGGACAAACATTTTTTTTCTAAATATCGCTAACAACTTTCCAACTTTGGATAAGGGCATTCGGACAAAAACAAAGTTTCAAAACACAAACATTGAATGTCGGTTACATGTTCATGTAGTGACACGTATAATTTGTGTTGATATCATCAATGTTTAGAGCACAATGTATCGCTAGTATACATTTCGTCATATGTGTGATAAAGGTAAAAAGAATCTTCATCACAGATTGTTTTGGTTAATATCGCATTGCAATCGAACGTGCAGCTTACTGTCAAGAACTTTCCTAAGTCCGGGCTGTTAGGATTCATAACCGTTAGAAATTATCTACTCGTTTATATTTGAAATCAGCGATTTACTTTGTAAAAAAAAAAAAAAAAAAAACAAGAGAATTGGAGAAAATTATTTTCAAATATTTGGTTTTTATGCACCACTAGTCGGATTGAGGGGAGAGATTTTGATTTTACTTTTATTGTTTTGTAATATTTTTTCTAAATTGTCTTGTCATTGATTGTCTTCGTCATATAAGCGACAGGAAGCAGTGTTGAATCGTAAATACACAACGGAACTTAATCGAAACATAAAATCGATAGAAAAAACGGAGGTAACAATTCCCTTAAATACCAGAGGCGAAACCGAATGTAGACATTTAGACATTATATAGAAAAAACGTGTTCAAAACCTGGTGCAAATGTAGACCTACCGCTAGTACCACAAGCACAACGGAATGAATATGTCTCACAAATACAAGATACAAATGTCCCAGGGCACAACCAAGTGTATATATATATTTATATATAGGACTAATACCAGAGACAGAATCAAATGTAGACGCAGATATCAGAGGTTTAACCAAATATAGACTCAATATTTTCATTTCATCAAAACTAAGCATTGTGATATTACTGTTTAGCAATAACATCAAGCATAGTGCAATTTGAGGGTTAAATTACAACTGGAGATAATATGATAGTGTTATAAATCCTTGAAGTCAAGACACGTTTCAATAGCTTATGTAACCATCGACATTTATACGAAGGCCATACAAGTGAGGACACCGTTAAAGATGAAAATTAAGTAATAAAGATACAGTGATGGTCGGCAACGAATAAGAAAGTTGTTTGGATGTTATGGAGCGGTGCTGCTATATGTAAGATTTTACACGCACCATACTCAATCTAAGATATTCACCAACAGAAACGCCAGCTTTCTCACAGATGAACCTAAGCCTATAACAATTATACTTAATAATTTCAAATCCATGAAATCCAGTTATAGTTTTTTTTTATCTCTTGTTTCAGTAGGACTATTTTATTGAATTTCAAATATTCATACGCTATCATTTACTGCTTTAATTCAATACAATTGATGTGTATTAACCTTAACAGGATTTCTTCTATTTAATCATGACATTAAAATGTTTCGGTCGTTACCTAAACTACCTACGTGAAATTTATGGATTTCTATATATGCTAACGGTTAGATCTGCTTCAAGATGATCTCATTGTACTGATTATGGCTTGTTTTCTGCTTTAATGTTGTCGTAACATTACGTTGTGGTAATAATAGATGGTAGTTCTGTTTAACTGTTTAATCAGTAATACTGAATACGCCTGTATGATATTGAAGGTATAAGAGCTATTTGTACACTTTCATCAGTTGACTTAAACACTAAAGAATTTGATGTTCCTTAGTCTTACAGTATACAGTGCTGGATGTAACAATATGAAACGGTGTGAAACATTTGTTTTCTCTTCTCTGAATTGCTACTGCTATGATTTAATCATTATTATCACAGCCAAATCAAATGAAATAATTTGGAAACATCGCGTATACTGAAGTTGGTAGAGATTGAAGAAATGATGACACGGAATTCAAATTGGATCTATATTTATTAGTTTGATTATGCAATATAACGCATCAGTTTTCTTTATCAATGATAATTTCATATATTTTATTATATTCCGACGAGTATTTCCGCTGTATTCGAATGATTTAACAATGGACTGATATACTGATCAAGTGTGATTTACCTAAGACCCTAATT